TAAGGTGTCACAGTTCAATGCTCCAATAACTCTATGAATAGACGTCTATTTATGATACGCAAATTAGCTTTGCGGCATGCACCTGTTTCGCCACTGTAATATGCATGTATTATTCAGAGCGACGGGGAGCCATTTTATCAACATTTTAACGCTATCCCCAAATTATTTATTTTATCGATATAATTTCGCTGAAGGTCGAAGCTTAAGAAAAATCACTGATTTATATTATTATATTTTTTATTTTTTAAGCATGTAGTAACTGCTTGATGTTTTAATCTAAAGAAAATATAACTACAAAAAAATCGCAGCAGACGGAAATAGAACCCGCACTATTCGCTATCCGGGCGAATGCACTGACCAATTATGCTACCGCGGCCCTGACGGCCGCTTCTAAATTCTTCTGGCCATTCTTAAGCTGCAAGGCAGCGCCATCTCTTCGCATTGTAGGTAACCCACAATGTCAAATGAATACTTTCACAAGTATTAAACATTTGAAAGTAGAAATAGCAATTATAGTTATAATTTTTATTTATAAGCATGTAACTGCTTCATATTTAAATCTAAAGAAAATATAACAAGAAAAAAAGTGCTTTTTATTAGTTACGAGTAAGCTTACTTTATTTCCCAAACTTTATTACCCTGGTAAATTTTATTTCTATAAAATTTCAAACCAGTAATCAGAGAAAGCGGCTTAAATGATTGAAATTGGTTAATCTAAAAATGACACACCGCAAACTCCTTAGGCTGTAGACTGGTTAGTCACTAAATAAACAAATATTCGCTACCCAGTTTCAACATTGCAAGAATCATTAATTACCATGTATTGTTTTGTAAGTGAACACGGAGCTGTTATTTGCAAGCTCATTAAGTAAGGTGAACATTTTCTCAACGCGAATAGAATATTGCGTATTATTTGTTAGGTTCGCATGCCCAACTTATCTAAATGAACCTTCGTAGTCTAAAGAACTTATTTACATACTAATATACAATGGCTTTAGCAAAGGCATATTCACTGTAGCAGGTTCATGTTTGAGTAGATTATAACATCTCAAGAATATTTTACTAGAAAAAATAATAAGTTATGTGTAAGTTAAATGCTTAAAAAAATAAAAAAGTGAAACCCATTAAAATATAGCTATAAATATAACAAGAAATTATACATATAACATTAATAATTAAATTTAAAATGCATCATCACACGTGCAATTTGCTTACTACTTAGTCATTGTTATCCTGCTAATTAGCCCTGAATTAATAATTTCTGCATACATATGCAGAAATTGATAAGCCGAAAATACAGCATTTTTTCCAAAGTTTTAAATTATTGTTTATTAGCAATCAGTATCATTAAATTTATCTTTATTCAGTAGTCATCGAACGTGGAGATTTTTAAGAGAATATAAAAAAACTAAAATGTTAATAAATTACATTTTCGCTATCTTTAAAATAATGTCGATCCCTACTAGGTAGTATTGATCTGGTAGTTGCGCACGCGCTGGTTCGAGACCGCGTTACCGTAGCCACGAGGCTGCGGATGCCGCTACGTACTAGCGGTGGTCTGCGCATGCATTTAGCCCGTTACAAAAGTAAGGTCTTCCTCACCGAGACATTAATTAGCACTGCACATGATTCTTCTGATAATTAATAATAAATAGATCATGCATTATCGGAATCGTATGTGTCGTATATGAGATGTTGTTGATGTGTAACATCTTTCCTCTCGCTTTCCTGCAATTTGTGGGAGTGATTTTGTGAAATGGAACGGAAGTGTGTATCAGGAAGTCGCTAAAGTGCGCGCTATTTGATTTGATTGTAGTAAATAATGTTCAAAATGGCTAATTCCTTTTGAAGTTGGTTTTATTTCTTTTTTTACTAATATAAGGTGAGGTTTCAAATGTTACTTAACTTAACTTTTTTTTTATGAACGTAGTAACGCAAGTTATGTATCATCTATCGTTGATCGCAAATTATTATAATAGTGTACGACTTTGTGTGTTATCAAATTGTTTATCTTGTTACAAATGATTGAAACATTATACGAGTTGGACGTCTATACAATGCATTAATAGTATGATTTATGATTTTAATACGAAACGATTCATCATTACGTAAGTATTCTTACAAAGTAGATGTCTTATTAACATGCATTGAGACTAATGACTAACGAGACTAGAGTAATAAATTAACGCTTTAATATAAAAGATTTCAATTAAATATAATTGTACGTACTTCGTGTAGTATTTAGTTTATTGCTAACTATAGCAAAGAAAGTAATAATTCAACTTTATTAAATTTAAACATAAAATTACGTCTCGTTGAGCGGCCTTTAGTATTAATATGCTTTATGAAAACGAGAGTTCTTAGAGGAGTACATACCTGCTTGTATTCGGTACTCCATCTAATTTTAAAAAGTAGGTGTAGGTACATTATAATTATTAAAGTTGAAGAGAAAGACTTATGCTGGCGTAATTTCAAAAATCACTTTACTTTCAATGTAAAATTTACTCTTATGTACAGCTGTTATCAGATGTATTTTTATTATACAAGACACAGCAAATGCTCCACCCAACCTGATAATGTTGGTGGAGTTCAGTCGTATAGGCTGATGCGGCAGAAAATAATGATGCCGCTCTCCTTCCCAGTTGTACAGACCTCACACACAAGCAAGAGCACTACACCAACAGCATATACTGCGTGCCTCTCGATTTGCCTCTTCCTTCATCATGCGAACCGACCGAATGGAACTCCCTTCCTGCGTCATTATTCCCCGATACATACTTATAATAAAGGGATCTTCAAGGCAGGGGTAAATAGGCATCATTTGAGTCTGCGTGCTACCACGTTGACCACATCGTTGCTTAACAACAGTTACGATTGTGGTCAAACGCACTCAAATCATTTATAAATAAAATGTAATGTTATTTTACTGCGGTCTTATGTGAGGTATGGTCAAGGTTACTAAAATACAAAGACACAATAAGAAGTTCTAACTAGAGTGGATCTAAATTCACTATTAACTACCTACCCCAAAAATGGTCTCAGTAATATTTTTATATAAATTTGTTTCAATAAATATGTAGAAATATTTTGTAAAGTGGCCTCCGACTCGGTCATGCTCGGCCTTCCATTGAAACAAAGCATTTTTTTCCTAAAGCTCCGCCTACCACCCGCATGTTGACCATTTGAAGCGATTAACAGGTCTGATTACACTTGACAGATGATTACACGCTTTTACATACTCGTAGAATCCATTAGCAAAGAATCAGGTCACAGATTTACCGATAAAATTACCAATGATGAACTTTATGCTGGGGTTCGGCAAGATGCATTGTGCTCGCAGGTAATAGGTACACATTGCGACACGGATGCCTCATAGATCAAGGACCTATTCGTATTGTGTACAATAGGATCTATTATACGAATTACGGGTTTCTGCCATCGTAATTATAGGGATTGTGAGGCGTTCCGATTTTCATACATAAATTCATGATCGGACGCTTGCAAGCACAGTTGTATGTAATGCTAGCTCGTAAGTAGTGTACGACTAGCGATAATGTGTTACGATCTGTTACTTATTTCACACGCTACGTAGTTCGTTTTCTTAGTCCAGGAGTAATTATCACTATACTATATTATTATTGGTCTCCTTAATTACTCTATAAAACACATTTTTTTTTGTAATTGATAGCATAGTTAATAAAAATAGTTGAAATTAGCTTTTAATAAAATAAAGTTTTTGTAAAAACTTTATAAAACTAAATTGTAACGTTCCACTGATTCTGAGAGAAGTTTTCCATCGCTCTTAAACACTCTCATAACACTATGGAGTCGATCACAACCCGACTTCCAATGACATTTTTGCAACGGGCTACCGTTGTAAAACGTGATCTCATAAGTCATAGTGCGCTACCGCTAATAGCATTCTAAACTTCGGAAACGCAGACGACTAGAGATGACCCGCGTTATTATCAGTGCATCTGTGCTGCATTAACGGCACATCAGTTGCATAAAGCGGTCCGTTGCACAACCGCACAATTCACTCTCGAAGTCTCCATAGAATGAACGCCGCTCGCGCTTAAAGAAAAATTATATATACAGAGGAGCAGCTACATAAAAACTAACACCGAGCGAAAATTGCTGAATGGAGTCCATAAATCACGTGAGGCTCGAAAGAGGGAGAAGGATTCGAAAAAAAACCACGAAATATCACAAGATATAATGAGATGTGCTAGGCACATGTGTTTATTTTTCGTTGAAGTTTGCTAAACCCTACAGTGATGAGTGGCCATAACTTACCCTGCCAGGCACAAACGAAAAAAATACAAATTATTTTGAGGTTAGAGGGGAGGGGGGGGGGGGGTGAACTTCTACGCCATACATTTTAAGGTCTAAATTCGCTTCATGCCATGCATTTCGTATGCCTCCTTTTTCAATGGAGCTACGCTTCTGTGTGTGTAATTTGTCTCTCGCTCCGCCGACATCGACGCCATTGTCGCGCACGCGCGTTACTGAGAACGTTCCCGCGTAAGCGCAAAAAGCTTGGGAACCGCGTCCAAACAATCATGGCCGACATAACACTACGAATGTTATCTGAGTTTACAACATCGCGTACGTTCTCATTACTTGTTACAATCAGCCCTATTTCACAATATAGTATAACTTATGGATTTCAACCAGAAGACCGATGTGTGCTTTGCAAATGAATAATGTTAATTTGACTCATCTAATTCAAATACCCTAATGTCACCATATCATTATTTTAATAAAATATGCGTAACTTACCATGAAACGACTGTGAAGGTACTTATTTGCAACCATTTTCACTCATAAAGATATCATTAGAAAACTACTTAACGTACTAAGTATTTAATTGTTTACAAGAACTTAGTTGTTATTGATGCGTGTTTTACGCAAACAATAGCATAAGTGTTGTTAGATCTTTATCCGCTCCATGTGTAGTTATTCAATGTAAATTGTTAACATATTAATGTTAAGGAATTTCTTTTCTTCAATCGCAACGGCAAACACAATACTTAATACAAACAAACAAACAAACCGCATCTGCAATCGATCTTTTCTTTCACGCAGTGTTCCACAGCGCATCGTTGTAGCGCGTGTTCCGTGAGTGATTCTCGTTACCTTGACTGTCAACGTCAAAAATGCACTGATCGCTTATAAGCGAACATAAAAATCACGACATGAGTCTTCGAACAACAAAAAAATTTGAATATCAAATCTGCATTCTTAGCTGAATGCATTCCGAAATGGTAAACGGAAACTATATATTGTACGGGGACAGACCGTCCTCGGAGTCTGAGATCGTGGACGATCATGTCCACCCGAGGACGGCCGAGAAGAAAATTAAACGCAAAACGCATCGCACAGCCAACGAGCTGCAGAAGACTTTGAACCTAGCTCAGTTGGACAATGACACAGACTCCGTTAAATACGAGAAGAGAGTGAAGGAGCCTACGTTGCTGCGTTATGTGCCTACGACCGAAGTGGAGGAGAATTTCGTTACTGAGAAATTTGAGACTTACGACTTGAAGCCGTCAGAGGAGCGGCCAAGGAGGTATGCGTTTACTAAGAAGCCGAAGAATCCGGCTGATGGTTCGGTGAATTATGCGTATTCTAGATCGAGTAGTAGTTGCAGTTCTCCGAACGGGAACTTGCCTACGATATCTGAACACACCGAGCAATATGGTACATACCGCGTCCGGCCTATTACTGCCCCGCCACCCGGTGAAATCATGACGGGCTTCGAATCCAAGTTGGATAAATACTTCGCCAAGCCGAGAGAAGTAAGGAAGTTTGCTGCCAAGGTAAGCTACAATGTAAGTTGATTACATTAATATTCTTTGTTTTTTTGCTGGAATATTATTCTACTGGTTACAGATTTCATTATTTTGTATGAAGGAATAAAATTTTTATATCATTGATTTACTAATGATAATAATTAATTCTGTAGTACGAGTAGATACACAACAATTTTAGTACCGACCAAACTAATCAGCAGTGCTATTCTGCAAGAACAAATTCACTTTTCACCGCGGAATCCGCGGTGAGATTTGAAATTTGTATTAAAATTTATATTCTAATTCGAAAGCTCACGTGGATTCCGCGGTGAATAGTAACTTTGTTCCCACAGAATAGCACGACAGAGCTTGTTCTGTGGATACTAAATAACGTATATTATTCGATATTATTATTACAGCTTGTTAAAATTCTGCTAAAATATATAAAAATATATCAAATGCATGAGCGGGATTAATGATTACCATGTTATTTACGTGTCCCCGATATCTATGTGATAGAGTGTTATTTTACCTTTAAAGTACTTGACATATATTATGTACCTAATAAGCAAGGGATAAATATAATTTCTTACATTTTAAGCTTTTTGTGTTTATAAAGTTGTATTTTATTAAAAAGTTTTAAATTTTTCACTCTTTCGAAATCGAAATGATGTAAGCTAAGTTTAGGCCAGCATTCTCTCCATTACATTGTTTATTTTCGAATATTCTCCCAAAAACGAAACTAAGTCTTCAAAACCTACGCAAGTATTATTACAAATATTCATAACTATAATTTATTACTGGCATGAAACTAACCCAGTCACCAATTTGTAAAAAGAGAAACGATTACTATGTTTTTCATCGTTAACTTTTAAGCGACTCATAAAGAATGGTTGTCACAGGTGATTAGCGGCTGGAAGACATTTATTTCACCCAACAGATTTATGACTGTAATATGAAACCGAAGAATATAATATTATAAAATATACATAATTATTGAGCAGAATATTATTTAGAATGCCATAAACCATTTCTCAAGCGATTACTAAAAACGTTCATCAATGTATATATATATATATATATATATATATATATATATATATATATATATATATATATATACTTTTGAACCATGTAATATAATTATGATGTTATGAATGAGCTATTATGTTATTCATTTGATTTCCATCCTATTTGTAAATATGAAAATATTGTGTATTGTTTTGTTTTTCATAAAATAACATAAGTTTTTATGTAAGAAGGACTCTAGCAACAATATATACATCTACCTACAAAAAAATATAGGCTTAATATAAAAAAGTGAATTTTGACGAGTTTTAACTGCACCTTAGATAAAAAAGGGCGCCTAAGCGGCTGTCTACATTGACTAAGATTCTTATCAGTTTTTTTGTAAAGTATATAAGCTAGAGCATCGGTACTGCTTCCCCACATAATGACTCCATAGCTAAGCCATGCATTAGCGTTAGCGTAATAAGGTCACTAAGGCTGTTTTAAAGTCAGTTGTCTTTTTTATTTTATAGAACGCGTAGATGAATTTGTACAGTTTAGAGTGAATTTTAATGGTTTCTAATTATGATTAGAATATATTCACTAGGTAGATTATTATATATTTTTACTGACATTGAGGAATTATTTCTACCACACACCTCCTTTCTTAGCTGTGACATTACAAGATTGTCAGGATATCTGGTTCTAAATTGGCAGTCATCATTTTTCCTTCTATATATCTGCGGAGTTGGTTCATGTTTGTTGGAGTTCTTACCTTGTATGTTTGTACACACTCCCTCAAATGGACGATTTTTGTTTCTCGTTTTAAAAAAATATATTTGTGTAATAGACATGTATTACTGTCTAGGAAAAATGAGTAAAAAAATCTAGACATGAGTTTACTATACTTTTTTTTGCAATAATGTGAGTGTTGTTTATAAACTACATTGCGCATTCATTGAGATTTTGCAAGTATGGGTAAAATAAGAGTAGATATTGTTTTTGAAATGTATTTATTTATTCTTCATTATGATATTTATAAAAACAATTGCTTTTTTTCGTATCACATAAAGATACACGACATTTTTGGCACATTTTGAATGTAAAGCCTGAACATTTTGGGAATTTGCACCTCTGCTGCTTATCCAGCCAAACTGCCCAATGACATATCTGATGTCTTTCAAAGGAATTGCTTGAGCTGGTCCTCGGAACTTCTTCATTACAAGTTCTCTTTGTATTGTGCTCCCACTAGGTCGACCACGTTTAGCGCCATTTGCAGGTAGACCCAATTTGCAGAGGGTTTCAGCAAGTTCTAGTCTGAATGTACCCAAATTGAGAAGTTGATCATTTCCTTTTATATTATTTACCTTCTTGAACATAACCCATGAATTTATAACTGCGAGGTCCAGGAAATGATAAAATAAGCTCATGGTCCACTTGCGGCTCTTCATTTTGATGTGATAACGACCTATAAATGAATCTAATAAGTCCACGCCTCCCGTGTGGGCATTGTACTCCTTGATGACTTTGGGGCATGGAATAGCAACTCTCTCTTTCTTCGATTTATCAAAGCGTGTGACTGTGGTTGCTGGTTCTGCTCCTGCGTAAGTGGAAAGAAGGTTAACGGGCTTGTTATCTTTCCACACAACAGCACTTACGTCAATATCATCCACAGTCGCCACGTTTTCCTCATAGAATCCTCTGGGTACGTTCTTTTTCATTATAGTGTTTTTTTCAGACAATTTGCAGTTTCTCAATCGGTTTACTCTTACTGTTCCCAGTGAGAAAATTCCTTCCTTAGCTAAATGGGTAACGAGAGGCACAGAAGTATAGAAGTTATCGAAGTATATAATGTGATTCACATTGTGTGATACCATTCTAGCTAACCTGACGACTGTATTGCCAGACTCTCCCAAATCTGGCTCACCAGGTAAGATTTTATTTTTGGAGCCCCCTCCACTGGAAACCTCAAATCTATGAGCATATCCTTGTAGATTGCAGATGAGATATAATTTGAACCCCCACTTGTTGGGCATGTATTGTTTTATGTAATGGCTCATTTTTGTTGCACACATCTGCTCGTCTATGGAAAGCCTTTGGTCTAAGGGAACCTTCCCAAACTGGCAGTTGAGCGTTTCCTCAAGAGGTCTTATTTTGAATAGCCTGTCATAGTCTGGATGATCTTTGGGCAAGCATAGCGTATCGTCGGCAAAATGGAGAGTGGATCTTATATTTTCAAATTTTTTTAACGGCATAGTATTTTTTATGTGATCATAACCAAAATGTTCACTCCAGTAAGCCCTGGTGTTTGGAAATTTTATAACTGAGGTGTAAATCAGAATGCCTAGGAATTTATTTAGGATATTTTCATTTATAATTTCAGGATTAGAGATTTGTTTCTAGGCTGCGTATAAGTTACTTTGTTCTACAATTTGCTTTTTTAGATGTGATGTAAAATAAAATGAAAAAAAATCATACGGCGTGTTACAAGACATCAATACTTCCGGTATCTGAGTTTCTCCCCTAAAAATAAGGCTGTCTTCAGCAGTAACAAGATTCTGGTTTCGCCAAACCAGAGGTCGTTTAGAAATCCCTTGTGATCTACTCTGGGGTTCTGCTTCTTCGGCTTCCAAAATAGGAGGGTCTGGCATATTTTCATCGTTGGCGATTACGAGAGGAGGATCAGCATACACTTCATCAGACTGGGCATTCTCACCTTCATCACTATTTTCAAGGTCTCGAAGAACATCTCGAGCTGTTTGATAATAGTGATCTTCCTCGGATCCTCTACTTCGGAGTCTGACCCGTCGAAACCATCTTCTGAATCTTCAAGAGTTTCTAAATACTTTGTAATTTCGCTTTCTAGTAATCGCGGCATGCTGAAAAGCAAAATAAAATTCCTTCACCAAACATGCATTTATTTATTAGCAGGCATCAATGCGCATTGTAGTTTTCCTACAACATACCAGATTTCGCCTAATTCGACAGTAGCATCAAGTGATTTTCAATGTTTTACAACATGAACATGTAATTGAAGATATAATCAAGCAAATAAAAATATGTTATATACTTACATTATATTTTATCAAAGTCCGAACACAGCTACAAAACTTAGGTTTGCGCCACTAGAAAAGTTTTCTTCAAAGTACATTTGACATTAACTTATTTTCAATGCATAAAAATATTAGCTAGTGCCAACATTAAAAAAAGTATAAAATTCGTTCAGAAATAAGAACTAGTTGTCAAAATTAACAAAAATTAAAAGAAGGTCAATTTTATCTGTGATGTTTAGTATGTTGTTTAAAAACAACATTGTCCATTTCAGGGTGATACTAAATTAGCTTCAAGTTCTGAGAGCGCTTTCCATAATCAACATGTAAATAGACAGACGTGGAAAATTACCGTAATTATGGAAATTATTATAAAATTACAGAAAAACGTGACTAAACGTACAGATTTCAAATACATATATAGAATGTGAGAATTGTTTCTTAAAAAACAAGTTTTTATTAATATAATAATAACAATAAATGTTTATTCAGGCGTAGTAATATGGGTAATATTACATAAAAATCACAATAATAATAATAAAAATATAAATTACAAATAATTATAATTCATTTAAATTAAATCATAAATCAATCAAATAAAATCAAAAGCAAATAAAAATTAAGTCATAAAAATAAATAAATAAATATTTCCAACACTTACACCAATTAACCTAACCCCAAAGTAAGCACTGTAAGGCTTGTGTTAGGGGGCGTCCATAAATTACGTGAGGTGTTTTTTTGAATTTTCTGTCCCTCCCTCCCCCCCTGGTGAGATGTCGTGAGATTTTATTCAACCCCCTCCCCCATCCCCCAATTTTAAGTGAGATTTTTCAAAATGTGGGTTTCTTAATATAGACGTATCTTTTGACGCATGCGTTATAAAAATCTTGATCTCATTTTCAATTAGTAAGAGCATGCACTGAGTCGAGAACCCATCTACAATAAACAAAGCAGGTTTGAACCTGTCCGTGTGTCGCTGCCACTCAGCTCGTACGCTCGTTCATCGAGTCGCGCGTTCGGGTACGGCCAGAGTGCACTCAGATTCAGATTCAGACTCAGAAAACAGGCTCGTGAGATATCAGCTTGAGCAAAGCAGGTGATTGCCACAGTAGAGGCAGATAATACAAGACACGGACGCCA